TAAAAACAAATAAAAATATGGACAAATTGCAACAACTTATAAGGACATATAAAAAATACATGAATGATTATTGACAAAAATACAGATTACTGGTAAGGTTAAAGAAAAACAGTAAGAACTCATGACTTTTTGCATTTAGAGTAAGAATCAGAAAGTCATTTTATTGATGCAAGATCAGTTAATATTCGTCATTGAAAAATAAATGAGCTTTCATTTTCAATTGGTGATTAAAGTTATCTAGAATTTCAATGTTTCCGAAATGGCCATAGAAAGTTAAAAAATAATTCTTACAAACTTTAAGATCATGCAACTATTAAACAAACTATAAAATTTAAAATGTGATTTTATATATGCTTCAAGCTTCTTTTTTGTGGGGGGGGATAATATATTTAGACTCAGAATGAGCTACATCATACACTATACCGAAAAATACAAAAACATATAAGGGGAACAAATGCTGTTTGAGTGAAAAGAACCATGACAAAATATACTGGCCTCCAAAAGTTAATTTAAAACTAGTTTTCAGTATCTAATTTGAAATGAGCACAAGAAAGTTTTTTTTTATTGAAATGACACAGGAATATGCTAAAAATTGAAACAAACAAGTGTGCTATTTAAGTTATGAATAACTAAAAAAGTACACTTGTTAGAAAATTCCTCTTTAGGAGAAAGCAATGCTTCGTAGTTTTATGTGGAAAATAGCAGTGAAAAGATTACAAAAATAGGCTTTAGTTATAAAAACATGTCCATCATAACTGCAATACATATTTGGCATCGAAATTTGATGCAGCCAGTTAAGTTGGTGGACACCGAAGATCAGACACTTAGTAACTATTGCTTCAACCATGTAAGGATCGTGGAGGATGACTCAAAGCTGCACCTTGTCTGCCAAGCCAGTGACAAACATTTCTTATTAGTTTCAGTTCTGGAGAACTGGCGGAGTAATTAATTCGATAAAAATATTCTTATCTTGGTTTATTTTTCGCACTTTTTTAGGTGATTAAGGTTCTCTGTCTCTTTTCATCTAAAAATATCTATTATTAAGGACAAACCACCTTAGTTCCAAAATTCGAAAAATTGTTTCTTAAGGAAAGGAAAATTTTATGGTCTTGGAAGGTATCATGATGGAAGGATAAATAAATATAATAAATAACTTTGAAAGTAACATTGTAACTAAAATGAGTATAAAAATGTACTTTTGGAGTCCTATGTTTGCTTTTCAGGAATTCAGTTGGTTATGATTTCATTTTGAAGGTCGACAGCGTACGGTCAGCTAATTTGCAACTCAGTGGCAATAAAATAGCGAGTCGTTAAAACGACTTGCTATTTTTTCGAGGATATTAATCTTGTCTAAAGATGGTTCCAATTACAATACAAATTTTTATTTCCCTTAAAATTTGTTACCTGAACTAAAACAATGTCAATAATCAATTAAAAAAATGCTAAAACAGGGAGCGGGTTATTAAACTCCTCTGGATTTGAAAATCGCGTACGGCCACATGGATCTCATGTTGTCGAGGATTTTCCGGAATGAGAAGATATTAGCCAGATTAATTTGCCCAGTAAGATCTTTAGACCTGAATCCGATAGGGAATGTTTGTGACTACTTTAGCAAATGGCTGCTTTGTGATTTCATCCATAGTTGTAGCATAAGTTAGTTCAAGGGTCAGCTCTTCGCGCTTCAACTCGTGTATATCAATTTAATTAACAGCATTGAAAGTCGAGGCAGCAACACATTGTTTGTAGGACCTATTTTCCATTTCAATTTTGCAGATAAAACTGCGATGTACTATTTTCTCTGAGAAGGAACACTTCTGCCAAATGTGCCTTTTTGATGTAGATAATGTCTTTGTTTAAATATTTGTAAATTTCAATACCCAATTTAATTAAAATAATTTTATTTTACACCTCTTTAAAATTTCTTATCTATATGTTTGTCGACTCATTTTCAAATTAGACACAGAAAACTGGTTGTACTTGAGCTTTTGGAGGCCAGTGTATTTTGTTATGGTTCTTTTTATTCACACAGCTTTTATTCCCGTTATATGTTTTATATTTTTCGGGTTATTAATTTACTTTTATGAATTAATTCACTTTTTGTCATTTTTTCAGTTACTATTGAATTTACTGCTAATTTGAATTACTATTATTCTACTATTATTCTCATCTTAATAAATAGAACTGAAAAACATAAATTATTATTGGAATCGGGAGAAAAGAGAATATATCTTAAATCTATCTTAATGAAATATATCTTAAATTGAATAATTTAAATAAAAATTTAACTAAGTATGGGATTATTTTGTACTTTATAAAAGAGGAGAATCGTTATCTAGTTTCGTTAGTAATTAAAAAAATATGCATGAAATAAATTATCCAAGTGCATATAGAATTCATATGTATGTGATGTTAAGAATAAGGAAAACTATAACATTGAAAATATGATTTAAGATCAATAAAAGGAATGTGCACTAAATACCTCGTTCCAGTTTACTAGGTTACGCTTTTTTTAAAATTTAATTTCTATGGTTTATAAGCATCTTAAAACTAATTAGTTAGTTATAATAAATCGAGTTGTATAGCTTTTTCTCAGTCTGCAGATTATTTTTCGATATAGGATCTTGAATAAAGTTTCTGTTTTATAAAAAAATAGGAGTTATGTGACTACAAACCGTATGATGAGTACTTCATTACTAGTAGATGTTTGATGTAAGATAAAGTTCTTTACGAAATGAAACACATGAAAAACGAAATTTAAACAACATGTGTAACTGAGGAAAAATGCAAAACTTTACAACCGTAGCTTAAAACAAAGGTTTTAAGTAAAATAAACATTTCATTTATCGTAAAAATGGTAGATATGTAATTTTCCGTTATAAGTTAAACTTATTTGTATAAATTATATAGATACAGTATATGTAAATCCAACCACTGATGTAATATGAGATAAATATTCAGAATATGAAACGTAAACATAGTTTTCTAAACTCATTTATGTATGTAATATATAGAAAAACTAGGTTTATAGAATAATAAACAATGACATATACCTTTAAATGAAATACAATATCAGTCTACATCTACATTCATCAACAATGCAATATGTTCAGGTTGTTTGTTTGAATCCCAATTTAAACACGATAATTAAAAATTTTAGAACGATATAGTTTCGTGCCATGCGTTAATTTTTTTTTAATTAGTAAATATAGTTGATTTTTCATGCAGTTCTATGCATTTCATACCCTTATAAACACTTATAAAAGTGTATATGGGCAATTCCGAATCTTCAAGTTGAGTAAATAAAAACACTATGTTTGAGAAAGAAATCGAATAGTTTTACGAAGTGTGCTGTATAATAATTCAAGATCTTAGCTAACAATATACGTTTCTTCTTTCATAGAAGAATAATTTTTTAATATTTGAACATATGATTTTAGACCATTTAATGCAATTTTAAAATACAATTTAAGTAAAATCACATGAGTAGCAATGAAGTATTATTTTTTTGTTACATAGACTATATTTATTTTCTCAAAGAACTTCAACAATATTATATAGTTAATTTATATTTTTATTAAGTGCATTATACAATAAGTAACTTGTATTTTCAATAAGTATTTGTTTTTTTTAAAAATTATAATGATCTATTAAATAAGTTAGTTAGGAAACAACAGAGCTATCTTTTATATTATTATTAATGAATTTCTTATTATCTTTTGCTCAAGTTCAAACTTTATCTTCTACTGAGCATCAAGAAATAAAAAGTGAAACAAAATAAATAAAACAAAATTTAAAAAAAGCACTGTTAGTAAATTTATATCATTGATTATAATGCTAGCAGTTTTGATACTATGATTGAGCATGCTCGTAGCCAAGTTACTCTAAAGTTAAAAATCAAGCTGCACTTGCATGAATACCAATAAAGTAAATATGACGTGCTTTCCACAAAAATATAATCATGGGCTGTTTCATTTTTGCATGAATTGCTTTATTGTATTGATACAATAAAGCAAGAACTGTATTTCATTGCTTTTCATAACTATCACAGTTTATTTAAAGGAAATTTTGAAGAGCTCTAACAATCGATCATTTTTAAGAATTAACTTAAGAAGAAAAGAATTTCCTGATATTAATAATATTGATGCATCTATATTTTCCTGCAGAGTTCTTCTATGTGTGATAAATTAAAATTATTTTAAAAAATTTATGAGTTGATGATTGATTTTTTTCAGTTGAGATTTATTTTCCTATTTTATTATCAATAGTTCATCAGCAATTTATTTCAAAAATATTTGCACATTTGTATATATATTAAAAAATATATTTGCGACACACTTTTTCTAATGAATTGGTCATATCTGAAATATATTCACATTTTTTTAAAATAATCCATTGTCAATTAGTCATAAGATTCAAATTTTAAATATGAATTCGTACCTTATACGTATTATATACCGGAGCTTGATTGCGCAAACTTTTATAAACGTTTGCAACAAATTTCACTTATGTTAAGATGGAAATGATTTAAAAGTGTCTTTAAAATATTATTGGCAAAGTGCAAATTTCTTAAATATAATTTCTTAAATTTCAAAAAAATAAATAAATAAACAAAAAGTAAAATTAAAGTATTAACTGCAATCTAAAAACAAAATTATCTAAAACGTTAACGAATACTTGTTTTCTTAATCCGTAATGAAACTTCTGCTTGCCGAAAGCAACAATTGTTTATCTTTAGCAGAGCAAATAATTGCATTTGCATCTGTCAATAACAGTGAAAGCTGAGATAGTATGTTCAACAGGTAGCAAGCTGTGCACGAAGTCATTCTGGCCTATGCAGACTGGTTGTTTTTATTTATGATTGCCAAAATAATATTATGGTGATCAAGAAAGTCAGATTGGAATTTCTGGATTTAATATTTCATTTTAGATGTGTAATATTTTTCTAATGACCAACATGCATCAGGTACTGTATATGTTTAGGGAAGCATTTCTTTACTTACCTGTAGAGTGGTTGCATAAAGGTTTAGACAGTGAAAAAATAAATACTAGTAGGTAGTTTGAAATTTGTTGATTACATGCTGGAAGTAAATAAGATGCTGATTTGTTTTCGAAATGATTTTGTAATAGAGAATATGGCTGACAGATGAAAGATCGGAAATTTCTCAGTCTTTGCTTCCTTTGGTACCTAAACAGTATTTTGGATCGATGTTTGAGCATGCGCAGGGATGCTGACGAGGGTTGGTCGATGAAAACAGATGAGTGGGCTTGAAATGCGTGGGATTTTGCTTCTATGGATTAAATCCGAAGGCAAAGCAGCTTTTTGGCGTACTGAGTGTCGTTTTCTGCCTATAAGTGCATAAAAGAGTAAAAAAAAAAAAAAAAAAAATACGTAATTGACTTAGAGCTGAAGAAAAGAAAAGAAAGAATAAGCAATTGTTTCTTTAGAAAATTCCTTAACCGAATAAGTTAAAACAGTGAAAAGTACTTCGGTTTAAGCTAATCGTTTGAAAATTTATTTCATTTATTTTCTTGCACCTTTTTTTCTTGAGCAATTGAAAGTGATTGATAATGTACATCTGCTTATTTTCGAATAAGTTTTGCTGGAAAGTCTTTCTGAGTTATTTAATTTAGTTCATAGCTGCAAATATTAAACTGAAAGAAAAATAGATTCAAGATGAAGCACAATGCATGCATAAATAATAATGCACTTAAAATTTCTATTCCTAAAATTCCTATTCTATAAAACTTTTTTAATCCTTACTTAAAAGTGTTCGCATAAAAAGTAAGTTGTTCGTGAAAAAACGACCTAGCAATTCAAATAAAATAGTGATTTAAGTATCATATTTTCAAATATTGGATTATATATTTTATATAGATTTATGAGAAAAGTGATTTGATATTCAGAATGCATTTATTACGGCATCCTGCAAGCTGTCATCATCAGTTTTCAGTATAATCAGCAACAAGGCAAATATATTTCAAACAAGATTCCTACGCATCTTTTAATAGCATGTAATGTATTCAGATTTAAAAAATAAAAAGAATGTTTGCCCGGAAAACAAGAGAAGAATATTAATTTTAATGTGTACTCAATATTTTATTGATGATCCTCCGGTTAGAAACTATAATCTTACGGAGTTTTCTTATGAATATGAATAAAATTATTTTTATTTATTCACATTTGTTACTAAGATAAATAGTTAACAATTTTTATTGACTATTATATATACTAAGTTCCTGAGTAAGCTGCAGGACAATGTCATGGAATCACTTTAGTATAGATTCCTATAATTTTTTACTGAATCTCAATAGAGGTCTAGCGAACTTTAAAAAAATCTTCAGTGCTCACTATGCTGTTGTGGAAGCGACTGTAGAAATATGGCAAAATTACCGTACTGTTTGGTAATGACATTTCAGGTAAAAGAAACTATAATTCTGGTTAATAAAACCAAAATGAATAGTGCATCCATGACAAAGAAAAAAGGAATTAACCATCCTGAATAACTTTTGATTTAATGATCGGCTTTTCACATTCTTAATGATTAAGGGGATGACCTCAAATATGCTAATTAATTAGCGTGGAGGATATTTTAAGTTACGAAATCAGGCACATAAGCCTACTTACTCTGAATAAACATAACTTTTTATCCACTGATTCGGATTTCTTATCCTCTAAATATAGGGATATCCGCAATTTGGCAAATATGGTCTCCATAGTTTGGTAGGGAGAACGGTCTAAAGTTCAGACCTCTTAATGTTAATTTTACTTTTTGCGTATTTCGCTATATCTCCAGAACTTTTTAAGAGAATTCAAAATTTTTTCACACAATTATAAGAAAGTTTATCCAAAAATAACTCCAAGAAATTTTTTTTTATTATATATTTATTATTTTGCTTAATAATAGTCGAAAAATTTTTAAATTGTAAGGTATACAATTTTTAACGCCTTTTTAAAGTATGTAATTTTACATGACAAAATGCAAAATTTGAGAGAAATCGATTTGAAAAGTTCCTGAGAAATCAAATTTTAAAAAAGTCGTATGCTTAAAATTTGTAAAGCATAATAAAAACAGTATACTCTCTGGAATTTGAACCCGGGTCACCTCATTGAGAATTGAGTGAATCTTCTGAGCCATTCCACATTGTGATTAAGGCCACTGGGATTTATTTCAAGTATAACAATCAAACATTAAACATAATTGGGGCATCCGTGGTTACGGGTATTGTCCATCAGCAAAATGCTCTGAGGCTTGAAGGTATTAGTTAGAAGGTATTAGGTGCTGTCTTTTTCAATTTTGTGACCTCTTCAAATTGCTTTTTTTCTTCAATTTGACAAGAGGCATGATTTGTATTAGGCACAAGTGCCTACATAGATATCTAAGATAAATTTGCTAAATTACGTTTGTAACATATCCAGGGTTACGGTGTGATTCGAACCTGTTTTCTTCATTCTACAGAGAGTTTGGCGAAATTGTGAGACTGCTTGGCCAGGGAAGCCTTTGTAAAACAAATGAATTTAAATAAACAATCTCTATTCTAAGTACTTTTTCGGTTGCATTTCGTTACGTATACATTGGCAGGCTTTTGTGTTCGCATTATAAAACATGGTTTATAAGCCCTAGATTTTGTACTGTACTACACACTTTGTACTGCACTAGCCTTTGTACTGTACTATGCACTAAGTTTCTAGTTGAGTTTCGTGTTTCTTTTTGACTAAAAAGAAGTTTCTGGAGATAATGTCCCCTAATCAATCCAGAAGAAAGGAGACTCTATGTCATTGAAAAAAGAAAAACGTTTGCTATTTGTTTACCATGTTTACTTCTGAACTCTGGTGTCGTTTTTTAAAAGCAAAATTTATAGCAGTTATTGTTGAACATTATTTGAACACTTCATAATAATAACATCTAATGAACTTCAGTTGATATTTTTTATGAACATATTATCATATTATTCCACATCAAGTTCAATCACCATCAGAATGTGATTTTTTTAAATAGTTATAAAAACTATCCAACTTCTGAGTTACGTCATTCAACATTTTAAGTTTCCTGATTCTCAAGTTAATTTTAAAGTGTGCTGGGACTTCAAAAATTATTTTTTGGTAGTCACTTTTCTGAATTCCTAGTCTTATAACATAAATGTAATTTCCCATAGGTCTCTTAAACTATTATTTTTGTTTTTCAATACAATTTAGTCAAACTTAGTGTTTGTGCTTATTTGACATCTTAAAAACTCAGTATCTACCTCAAATTTAACGAAATTAAAATTTTGGTTTTTTGTAGAAAAATCAGCAAACTCTAAAGTAAGTAGTAAAATTGGCCAAATTTAAAATCAAAAATTAAATAACCCCTCCATTCACCTTTCCTTCTTATAACGTTTTTTAAATACATTATCTAAATTCCTCTTTAATTAAGGAGTTCTAGTTATCATCCCATTTTAGTTTAGTGTAGTAAAAAGAATCTTTCTTTTTTTCTGAACATTTTGTACTTTAAAGATGGCCGGTTTTGCAACTTTTGCAATTGAACTTAAATCATAGATATAAGATTTTATATACCTAACGATTGTAACAAATTTTCAGCTCTGCTTCCAATCGATTTAAGATAACTTAAACTTCTTTAAATTATCTAATATATCTAGCTATAAGAAGTTTCAACAATTAGCAACAAATATAACGACGTTAAAAGTTGTACTCACCGTATTATCTTTTCTTCAATTAATAATTGCAAAAAAATGAAATTTTTCAGTTTTCAAGGAGTAAATAGACTTCTGGGACTTCCTCAAAAACTTTTGTGCATTTCAAATATTTCATATGTTACACATTTTTTTACAATTCTGAAAAAATTTTTAGAATGAAAAACATAACGCAACATCATAATTTCAGTTTTCATTATAAAAATACATAATTTTGATTTATTGAGTTCAGCGGAGCTGTCGATTCAATTAATAATAAGAGATGCAGTGTGAATACAGCTTACAATGAAATCAGCATTTTCTGAAAACTCTGGTGCTAAATTTTAGAGTAAAATCTATTCAAAATGAGCTTCTATTCAATTTGGATTTGAAAGTGGATTTTTATAGGATAAAAATAACTCTTTCTTTAGGTAGTGGATAGATGAAAGTAAAATTCTGTTCTGGATTATGACCATTAGTGTAATAGAACAGAAATAATTTTAAGAACTTCAACTCCATTTGTATTAATACGGAAAGTAAAAGAAAATCAGGTTTTGTATTCGTACGAAAATTACAACAGTCACTTTCATCCCCGCATACGAAATTTGTTTGTTATTCAAATTTCTGGGCCATTAAATTCTCATTAGGTGTCTGAACATTTTATCGATTTGAACAAATATTTATGTAATCATTTTTAGATTATATGTAGTTTCTGCTTCATTTCGTTTGTTAATATAAATGCTCACGTTTTGTAAATCATAAGTTCTAGACTTAAAAGCTACTTAGAACATGATTTGTGAATATAACTTTTAAAATGAAATAAATTTTCTTAAGGCAATTATGGTTTAATTTTAAAACCAGAACGGAGTTTTAGAATGCTTTTTACTAACTTTTTCTAAAATTCCCTGAATTATAAAAGTTTTATACTTTAATGTTTTCCCTTTTCCAAATATTTTTTTTAAACTTTTTTAAAATATTTACTTTAAATTGTTATAAATTATTTACTTAAATTTTTCTTAATTATTATAGCTTTATTAATTTATTCTAATAATATATTACAAGAAAACAAAGAAAGGAGCAAATTATTTAATTTAGTCTTTTGGGATCACCTGATCCTTTTTGGTGACCTAAGCCCATTTCCTGCTGAGAAGGGTGAATGCAACATTTTGGAAACTGGCTTTAAAAAAATAATAAGACAAAGTAGACACTTTATAATATCAGTTACGAGATTTAGCTAAAATAAATCGCAGGCAAATGATTTCAATTCTGCTGATACATCAGATAGATATTTTAATAAACTGTATGCTATATATACGAGAGTTTTTAAAATGCTAAGAATAAAAAAAAAACGCTCTTTATTATTACTTTCTTTGAAAAAGAAATGGGGATTCAAAATAAAGACTATATTATATAAAGCAAAGCTATCTATTTCCTATTTTATTTTTCCTTTCTTTTTGCTTATTTAAAACCAAATTATTACTGTTCGTTTTTAAAATTTTTAACTTTGAGTATTTACTAATATTATTAACTTATATGCACTTAAGGCACAAAATCATTGAACTAATTTATTTATTTACTACCCAACTGATGTGTAAGGACATAAATTGCTACATATTGAAATGTTTAATTAGTAATCCTTTGGAAATACTTCAAGGAGAAACAATTAA